AACGTGCCGCCGCTGCTCTCTCACATGGCTCTCACGGTCGAACACCACGCTAGACCGAGTCAACCCTTCTGCTAACTATTTTCCTATTTATTCTGTGCAGAATACAATCTTCCCACAGCTCTGGTTTCCCAAGACTTCTCTTATCTCCTAAGGAACTGGGCCACGTGCACGTACATGCCAGCAGAATCCACTGCGATGCCGAGAGACCTAACACAACCTGCACAACTATCAAGAGCTCCAGCACCACTGCTGCAACCAGCGTGATCGTCACCACGTACAGCAAAACCTCCTGATCTAGCTTGCCGTCACTGCACATGCATACCGCGCATCGGTCTTGTTGGTCACTTGCGAATCCATCGCACGGAGACCGACGAACCAGGTCCTGTGGCTTTAACACAAAGTCGCCGCATACGGCTTCACTGCGCACGCACATTCACATGGGCCGTGGAAACTTGCGGTAGACTGGCACTTTGGATGACTATAAATCATAGTTTTTAGTACTAACAACTGACGCTGTACCAGCCCACGCCATCAGCCCGTTGTTTAGTGCTCCTATGCTATATGCGTGATGCAAGCCTGGGATCATCACGATTTACCGTGGCGGAGGAGGCTGCTAACTGTCGTTTTACCAGACCATGCAATTAGCCCAGTGTTCTGAGGGGACTTGGAGTCAAACGGTGATGGCACGCGTGTCGGCACGCATTATTCCTCGTCCATACAGAGATAGATTGATCTAAGTGCGATGCAGGTCTAGTTTCACTATTATGCAGCGCAATTCACCGTTCCAACACCACCCTTTTGCGGAGCAAATGGACGGTTGAACTGTAAAAAATCTTTTGATATTCCTTTTTTGCTTCAAATTCGCTTAAATTTCTTCATCATTATTTCGAGCCTTCCGTACATTTGTTTGTGGCGGTTTGTGAGTGATAACTAATTTTTCGTAAGTTGCACTATTTTGCGTGTAATAGGTAGTGCCCTGTATGTCCCTTTCTGTCTATCTGTCTTTCCGTCTAC